GTGAGTGTCCCCAGAGTGGGAAGAGCTTCGTGCTCTGCCCCAGCTGCCTCCCCCATGGCAGGATCCACGCTGGGGGATCCCAGGTGGGCAGAGCCCTGGCTGGGGGCTCCACACCCTCCTGGGATCCCCCGTGGTCACCTGGATTTTCTTTGTGTTTCTCTTTGTCTTTTCCAAACACCCAAAAACGGGGTGAAAAATAAAAATGTTGAACTAAGATGTGGTTGGGGACATGGGGGGATCTTTCAGGGGTTTGGGGGACGCTGGGTTTGAGGGGTTTGGGGGTTCCTGGGAGGGATTGGGGGTTGCTCAGGGCTTTGGGTACCCCAGGCCCAGCAGCTCCAGGTGCACTGGGAGACCCTGGTGGAGGTTTTGGGGCTGCTGGTCAAGGACCCCCAGCCCCAGAATTGTCCCCAGTATCCCCCATCTTGGTCCCATTGTCCCCTGCCCAGGGTCCCCCTCTCCCTGCTGTCACTGTCCCTGTCCCCAGCCCATTCCTGGGTCACCTCACTGCCTCTCCTGTCTGGATCCCTTCCCTGTCCCCATTCCCAATCCCTGTCCCCATTCCCAATCCCTGTCCCCATTCCCATTCCCTGTCCCCAATCCCTGTCCCCATTCCCATTCCCAGTCCCCATTCCCTGTTCCCATTCCCATTCCCTGTCCCCATTCCCATTCCCTGTCTCCATTCCCATTCCCTGTCCCCAATCCCTGTCCCCATTCCCATTCCCTGTCCCCAATCCCTGTCCCCATTCCCCATTCCCTGTCCCCAATCCCATTCCCTGTCCCCATTCCCCATTTCCTGTCCCCATTCCCATTCCCTGTCCCCATTCCCTGTCCCCATTCCCATTCCCTGTCCCCATTCCCAATCCCTGTCCCCATTCCCAATCCCTGTCCCCATTCCCATTCCCTGTCCCCAATCCCTGTCCCCATTCCCTGTTCCCATTCCCATTCCCTGTTCCCATTCTCATTCCCTGTCCCCATTCCCAATCCCTGTCCCCATTCCCATTCCCTGTCCCCANTCCCATTTCCCATTCCCTGTCCCCAATCCCTGTCCCCATTCCCCATTTCCTGTCCCCATTCCCATTCCCTGTCCCCAATCCCTGTCCCCATTCCCTGTCCCCTGTCCCCATTCCCCAATCCCTGTCCCCATTCCCTGTCCCCATTCCCATTCCCTGTCCCCATTCCCATTCCCTGTCCCCAATCCCTGTCCCCATTCCCAATCCCTGTCCCCAATCCCTGTCCCCATTCCCAATCCCTGTCCCCATTCCCTGTCCCCAATCCCTGTCCCCGTTCCCATTCCCTGTCCCCAATCCCTGTCCCCATTCCCCATTCCCTGTCCCCATTCCCATTCCCTGTCCCCAATCCCTGTCCCCAATCCCAATCCCTGTCCCCATTCCCCATTCCCTGTCCCCATTCCCCATTCCCTGTCCCCATTCCCTGTCCCCATTCCCAATCCCTGTCCCCATTCCCTGTCCCCATCCCTGTCCCCTCTCTCTGGCCACTGCCACCTTTGCTCTGGCCTCTTTCATCCCTCCCTGCTGTGCTGGCCACAATTCCCTATTAAACTCCCAATTAAATTCCTAATTAATTCCTGCAGGGCCTTTTCCTGCTGCTCCATGGGAGTTTGGCTTCACTTCCCAAAATTCCTTTTCATGTTCCAGGATTGAGATCTGGGCCCATTCCCAATTTCTACTGGGATTTGTGCCCATTCCCAGTTTCCACTGGGATTTGTGCCCATTCCTGGGATTTGTGCCCATTCCTGGGATTTTTGCCCATTCCCAGTTTCCACTGGGATTTGTGCCCATTCCTGGGATTTTTTCCCATTCCTGGGATTTTTTCCCATTTCCACTGGGATTTTTGCCCATTCCCAGGATTATCCCAAACCTTCAGGATTTATCCCAAATCCTCCTTTTCCCCCTCCTTTACCTTCCCGACTTCTCCATCCCTTCCCTCTTTCCCAGCCTCTTTTCCCACCTTTTCCATCCTTTTTTTTTTTTTTTTTT